ATTCATAATGTGTTGAATGTTATAACCTAGCTCTTTAAGGCTCTAAACAATCAACAACACAATCTTTTAAGGGTTATCCTCCCCTTTAAGCTCATAACCTCACAATACAAACTTTTAAGTGTTTTGCAAAATCAAAGAATCTCTTTAAAGTTGGGTGTTTGCTAATATGAAGTACAAATCAATATTAAGAAGAATATCAACACAAAAACAAATACAAGAAGAGTTTCTACACATTTAACAAAGTAAAAAGCTCTTTAATGCTTGTAGAAGGTGGTAAATGAAAGCAATAAGTTTTCTTGGCTCTTCATAGCTTCAAATGCAATGGAAAACCCTCATTTATATGTTGAGAGTGGAAGATAGTCATTGCTTGCATTAATTGTTTGGAGGCTTTGCAAAATTTTAAATAAAAATAGCCGTTGCAAGCTTTCGGGGCACAAGAGGATTGATTCCCTCATATGGGGGATCGATTGGGTCAATTAGAATTCAAACAAATTCATGCATGAAAAGTCGCAACCAATCGATCTATGCAAGTTACCAATCAATCCCTTTTTCAGGTGATGAATCCCCTAATCTAGGTGATTGGTCCTTTTTCAAAGTTTGGAACCAAAATTTCATTTTGTGTAAAAAATCAATCGATCCCTTCATGATGGGATCTATCTTATTTTTAAAAGTCTTAAACCAATCGATCTATACAAGGAAGTGATTGATTGGCTTTCATTAAAATTGCATGAATTTCTTTTTGGCCAAAAAATCGATCCTCTTAAAAAGGGATCGATCCCTTCTATATTATTTTGCCCAATTTTATTTTTAAACTATGCCAGATGAATTGAACACATTTTTAATTGGATACAAAATTGAAAAATTATTCAAATTAAGTTCAAATAATTTAAATTCAATTTTAGCAAATTTTTGTTTTGTTATTTTAAAATATTTTATCAATTCAAGGCTAACAAAGATGACAAGTGCCTATCATTCATGGTGGATTCAGGGGAGTGTTTAGCCATTCTGAAATGGGTTTTGGCTAGGGTTGTAGGTTGTGAAAAAGATGAAGAAAAGGATTTGAAATGGGAAGGAACCTATGCCATTTATTTGGGCTTCTTCAGGTTGAAAAAAGCCATGCCAATTTGGTTCTTTTTTAAAGAATTTTTGGTTGCATTTTGGCATTGAGATATGGACCATAGAATTGATTTTATGGGATTTAAATTGAAACGAAAATTTGTGGGAGATTTGATGGAATTAGAAGAGTTAATGTTTTATTTTTGCGCATTTAATGAAAGTTGTAAATCGATTTGATTCAGATACTTTTGTACATTGACTTTAGCTTGCAAGCACAACCTTATAAGGAGAGGCAGGAGAGAGGAGTTAAAGATGGAGAGGTTAACCTGTAATAAAATACTGACATAAAATTTAATTGAGTAAAAGTACTTATATTTTGAATGTTCTAGTTAAAGAATTAAGATTAAAAAATACCTGAGTTTGAGAAACGACTCAGTGTTAACATGTCACGTCATTTTTATAATTATTCATTTATATAAAAATGAATGGAATTGTTAAATTTATCGCATATTGAATTGAAATTTTCATTCAAATAAAGCAATAAAACCAGTATACGTTTTTCAAGGAAAAATCAAATGCAAATCTCTAAAAAAGTAGGCAATCAACACTTCAGTTTTTTATCTAAAGTTAAATTAACAAGACCTTTCAACAAAGATTTGGAAGTCTTTTCCTTTTTTTTTTTTTCCTCTTGAAACCAGTTTTCTTTCTTTATTTTCTTTACATTCTTTCAACTCAATTACAAAGAATCAGTCCTATATGTTTAAAAAAAAAAAGAAAAAAGAAAAGAAAAGTATCCAAACTGCACCAACAATCAGCAACAATAGAATATTTGATTGATTAATATTGTAAAAATAAAAGCATTGCACTAAGATGAAGTTTCACCAAAAGATATAAAGCCGACCGATCAATTTCCTAAACCGACTATATGCTTCAATTTCCAAATCCAATTGATTGAATAATCAATACCCAAAACATTCAGTTCTAGCAAGCTTCAATTTCCTAAACCAATCTATCAGCTTCCAATCGCATAAAATCTCATTCGGCTTTCATCCAATCCAAAAGCTTTTGAGAGTCAACTAAAACTTTCATCTAGTATGCTTTTTCATAATCACAATTTTAAGTTTCATCAGACCACTTCACTTTATTTATTTTTTCTTCTTTGTAGGGATTTGCTCTTTTTTACTTGTTTTTATGTTATTTGCTTATTTGTAATGTTTTTCAAAAATGCTTATTTAGAAAATTAAATGTAATTTAATTTGTAATTTTTTTAATTTTCAAATTCAAAATAAAAATGATTTGATGATGACATGATTTAAAATGTCTTGGATTGAGAAATAAGATTAAAATATCTATATTTTAAGAATAAAGATTTTAAAATGCATTTGTCCAAGAAAAAATTCTAGTTTAAAATATAAATGTAATCAGTAAAGTGATTGTAACAAGTAATATTGTGGCTGCAAATAAATTTTTTAAATAAAATTTAATTATAATTGATAATTTTTGGTTTAATTAGAAATGATCTATAGAACTCAATTTGATTTTGATTTTAAAGATCAACCACTTAATTGCTTTAATAATTACATTTTAGTTCGTTGCATATTTAAAATATTTTCAAATTTGGATTAACTTAGGTTCAACTTTTTTTCGGGTTCAATCAAATTTTGTCATCTCTATTTTTGTTCAAATGTCAAAATATACTAATAATGAAGGTCAAATTATGTCAATAATCTTTATACTCTATCAAAATTTAAAATTTGCCCAATCATTTGTAACTTACATAAATGTAGTTTTTATATTATTTTGATTTAATTATCTTAGTTTAATCACTAAATTTGTTAAATTTTTATCGTTAAAAGAACTAATATGACTGTTGATTTAATGACATAGGCATTGAGTTGTTAACATAACATTGACTTTGTTAATGTGACATTGATTTTAGTGACGTGTCAACTTAAATGAATAAAATTAATTATGATATTATACAAATAATTCATGTACTCATATAAAATTTAAATTTTAGTTCATCTAATATAAGTTATAAAAATCTCATTCTCGTACAATTTGAATTTAATAATATTAATCCAACTACTAATGAGATCAATAAAAAAAAATAAGTTTTCAATTTTATAAAAAGTCATTTTTTAAAATTTTTTATAATTTTCTAAAATTTTTAAAAATACTAAATTTAATAATATTACAAAATTTAATTTTTTTAATTTTAAAAATATTAAATTTAATTTTTTTCAATATTTATTTTTTAAAAAACAATTAATTTTTGACCAAAAATGAAATATTTTGATTAAATAAAAATGTTTAAATTTGAAAATTACAAAAAATATATTTAAAAAATTAAAATATTGAAAAATTTTAATTTTAATTTTATTAAATAATCTTAAAATTTCTTAAAAAATTGTACTATTGAAATTTTTAAAAAATAAATTATGATTTTATTAATGATTAAAAAATATGATTTCTTTTTTAAAAATAAAAATATTTGTAAATAATTAAATTTAATATCTTTGAAAATTTGAAAATTTTTTAAAAAAAATTAAAAATAGAATTTTTTTAGATTGAAATTTTATTTTTTAAAGAATAAAGGAAATATTACATACAAAAATTAAAATATTTTACAAAAAATTAAATTTAATATTTTAAAGAATTAGGGAAATTCTAAATAATTTAAAATTTAAATTTTATAAAAATTGGAAATCTGATTTTTAAAAAAATTCAAGAAACAAATTTTTTTAAAATTAAAATATTGGAAAAAAATTAAATTTAATATTTTTAGAAAATCTAGAAATATTTTAAAAATAAGATTTTTTTAAGTTTTGGATTTTTTAATTTTTAAAATTTTTCAACAATCACGCTAAAAAGTTAACAAAGAGTAATTGGTTGCATTAGTAATTGGATCAACATTATCAAATTTAATTTATATGAAAACATGATTTTTATGAATTATATTAGAGGCACTAAAATTCAAATTTTGTGTGAGTATATAAACTATTAGCAAAATTTGAATAAGTACAAAATTATTTACATAATTTAATAATTAATTTCGTCCATTTAAATTACCACGTCAATAAGGTCAATTACATTAATAAAGTCTACATTTTTTAGGAAAATCAATGCCACATCATCAAGTTAGCAATTATGCTAGCATTTTTAACAATAAAAATTTGATAAAGTTAATGGTTAGACTAATATTATTAAATTAAAATAGTATAAGGACTATATTTGTATGAATTACAATAAAAAAATTAAAATTAAAATTTTGATAAAATACAAAGACTATTAACATAATTTGATCAATAATAATAACTGGAATTTAGCTGTTAAAAGAAGTGACAAGCTTGATAGCTTGTTACCATGATACATTATTAAATTATACTACTACCCTATAACATGATGGGATATTGACACACTTATCTCCTACGAGATTGTTCTCTTTTAACTCGTTTTTCATTCTTTCATTTTGTCTTGCTTTTTCTTTTTTTCTTTTTTTTTTAATTATTTATTCTTTTTCTACGTTTACTCATATAGTTTTTAAAGAAAAATTCACTTACATTTTTTTAAACCATTAGATCAAAATTAATAAATTTTAAAATATTATTTTAATTCCAATGAGTCATAAATTTAATTTTAATCTAATGATTAAAAAAATGTAAAAATTACATTACTATAAGTGAGTCACTATCCTTTTTTTTTAAACAATAAATAACCACTTCATCAATATAATTTTTCATAATTGTTTTGCAATAACTTGCCAATTTATTAATGTAAATTTTTCATAAATTATATTATCAAGTGAAGATAACCTTTGTAATGATAGATTCATACTTCTTTTAAAAAGAATTGTAGTCTAAAAATAAGAAGAAAAATTATAAAAATTAAAATTTAAACTCAAAACTTACTTAATACAATCTTTTAAGAATGTCTGCATAAATCAATTGAGTTAAATTTTAAATTTAATGATAGATTGTTAAAAAAATATATACTCAAATAAACAAAAGCCACATAGGTCTAATGCCCTTTTAGCATCCCAACCCGATGGAAATCCTTCCAAAATGAAGTTTAAAGCTTGTTAGTACTATTATTATATCTATTTTTTATCTCTAAATAACAACTGACAAGGGCTAATGTAGAAAGTAGAGTCTCGCGTAGTAATTTTATCTGTTGAAGACACCATAGTAGTCAGTTGATAACTTCTGTATGCTACAATTCACCACTACTACGTTCCATCACAAAAAGTATACCAAAATTGAGGACAGAAGCAGGTTAATGCCTGGATCAGACGGCTGCAGTTACTTTTTGGAGAGAACTACACCGTTTTATGCACTACATCAAACATCTTGGACCGTTGATTCTACTCCAGAAAGATCTGGCATCGATCATCGTTGAATGATAAGGAAATTTCCAAACGGGCAACCAAAGAAAGAGAGGAAACACAAAGATGTACACAACTATTCTACAATCTTCTAAATATTGTAGCTAATCATCACCACTGATCCCATTTATTTAAGAAATCATTCCACATCGCTGCTGCTATTGATTCTCGTAAAGATGAAGCAATTTGTTCCTGAATTGAGGAGGCAAACTGCAGCTCAGGTTGCTCATCAAAAGCAGGCAATTCATCCACTATAACCCCCTCAATGCTAGAAAACAACCAATCATGTCTTTCCTCACGTCGGATGTAATTATGTAGAACACATGCAGCTATAACTATATCCCTTTGAATATGAAAGGCATATTGTGGGGCAAGTTTGAGAATAGGAAATCGAGTTTTCAGCACATTAAAAGACCTCTGTATGACATTTCTTAGAGAAGAATGGCGATGATTAAAGAGCTCCTTTGCATTTCTGGGTAGTTGATTGGCACCTCTATATTCATGCAGGTGATACCTAACTCCTGAATATGGAGCAAGAAATCCTTCCATATTGGAGTAACCCGTATCAACCAAATAATATTTTCCTGTAAAAGCGAAACGTCCAGTGTAAGTTGGTTTCACTTCCATCCACATGACATGCAAGATAAATAGAAACTTTTGGCCAAAAAAAAGATAAAGATTAATAGAAAATTTAGCTATCTTTCTGTGCATGTAACAAATGATTGGACATGGAATCGAACAGCAATGTAGATCCTTACCATTATATTAATATTTATTCATTAGAAATGAGACAATCATAAATTTCATCCAATTTCAACTTGCAGCTTATATTTCCATAACACAAAACCACAGCCCATTCCAACCCTGCTTTCCAGAAAAAGAATAAAAGTCAAACATAAAACCTTCAGAAATGTGAGGAAAATTCTGATCTGGATCATCTAAGACTGCTCTTAATACTCGTGAATCAGCAGCAGATCCTTCCCAACCAGGATAAACAAATATAAACTGTAGATCAAATGTGCAGGCTGCCAAAATATTTTGTGATAAAACACCTTTCCTATTTCGAAAACGAGACTGATCTTTTGCTGGGACATGTGCAGGGATATGCATTCCATCTATGACACCAACACAATCCTGAGTGCACAAAAGTTAAGGAAATCACCAATGATAGAGATGTAATGAGAAAGAAACAGGGTTATAGATATGAACCTTGAAATATGGGAAAAATCTAGCACTGTTAAGAATTTCCTTAGGAGTACTGATATTTGGGGGTTGTAAGAATTCCCGCGAAAATGACTTGATTGCCTTCAAAACATTATTAAAATGCCGACTTATGGTTTCACCTGAATGCTGAAACCGCTCTTGGATTACTCTGTTGCGTTCATTATGACCCACAATATTTAAGAAAATGGCCAGCTGCTCCTCGATCATAACACCAGCTGTATCACGTAACATACCTCTATGTCGGAGTGTGTAACATAGCTTGTGAAAAACATGCTTATCCATCCGAAACATTTCACGACACAGATCATCAGGTCCTTCTAGCACCTCATTCATAAAACTACTTCCACTAGGTGATGAACTACAACGAATTTGCCTAGTTATGCTATTATAGTAATAGCAACCAGCAGCTGCTGCAATTAGTTCCATTTCGTCCAATTCTAAATCAAGGTCATCCAAGCCAGTTGACATATCTGTGAAATAAAATCAAATGAAGCCTGTGTAATGCAATACAAACAGTGAATCACTCTTAAAAGAAAACCAATCACACATCCAATCCACAAAACCAAGTAATGATTTTTTTTTAAAAAAAAAAAAATCTTAACACAATAAACTGCTAATTATCATTTAAGATCACTAATCCAAATCAAGAAACCATGAAGTGAAAGTGTTACATTGATAGAACTACATAAGCAGCTCTACAATCCTACAAAACAAAACCAAATGATCAAACTAAAGGTTGCACAACTAATAATATCATTAACTATTCATCAATCAACTAGACAATGAACTACACTTGCCCTGCAACCATGGCAACCTTTTATCACTTTTAAGAGAGATAAATATTTCTCTAGCATTTGGGTTCTCAAACAAATCCAAGGCAAGAAAGTAAATCCGTTGATCAACACCTTGCATCTCATCTAACACTTTTATGCATTTGCTTATAGAAAATCGGTCCTCATTATTCATAATCGTGGACGCCCTCATTTTTGAAGCAGCTGCAATTTCTAGCATAGCATCGACAATGGCATCTCCAGTAGCCTTACGACTTCTCTTGCGCCGGCCAGAAGTTGATGGCGTCACAGACTGACGCTTGTTATGCCCATCTAGCATGTTCACATCATCAGCAGAGCCCGAAGAAGCATCGTCATCCACATAATTCATTGGTGCACTGGGATCAAGAGACATGTTTTTAAGTCTCTAAATGCATCAAAATTGAGCAATTTTGATTCTAATTGTTTTCATAAGTTGCAATGTCTGGATTTTTAAGACATAGATAAACCCTAAGATTGTCTAGAAAAATGATGATTGGCATTTATAAGAATGAACAAACAAATAGAGTAAAGAAAATGGAACCCAAGAAAAAGAGAATAGAAAAGAGAGTAAAGGGATATGAAAGAACTAACCTTGAGCTTGAAGAAGCAGAGTGTGAAACAAATCGGAGTAATGGTTTTCAGAGTTTCACTGCTTGGCACCCAACCCCAAACCCAATTTTAATCACGCTAAATTATTACTAACGTCGATTGATTTATTTATTTATTTAATGCGGAAAATATGCGCCAGAAAGTTTAAGATGCCAATGGGCTGAGACCCGCCGATCTGTTTATGGGCTTCACGACATGGTGGACTTGTTTTGATTTTTCCGAAAAATTATCTATTACCATTAGATTTGAAAAATTGGATCTAAACTCAAACCTATTTTAACTCGCTCATGATAATTAAACCTAGAAGGATAAAATTGAAGTAATCCGATTAATTAATTTAAATCCATTAAATTTTTTTTTTGAAACAGAATAAGTTTCATTACTCATATGCAAAGATTGTCTTTGTTCAACAACTACAGTAATAATATCTGGACATTCCTTTACCCTGTATATCATCTCGTTGTATCTTAAAGTCATTTTTGCTAAAAGGTGGGAGCCCATATTTGCCTCATGGTTTGCATACTTGCATTTCCAATTTACGAAAGTATTCAACCTTTACTTTATTTCGTCAATAAAATTACTTATTGGAGGCAAGTTTTTATCCTTTTACATGATCTGCTTTATAATCCCCAATGTATCACCTTCGATTATGATTATCTAGAATCCCAACTTAGTTGCAAGCTTCACTGCCTCGACTACTGCTAGTGCTTCAATTATTGTAGGATCCTTGCACCCTCTTACTTGCTTGTGCCTAGCTCCCATCACATCCCATTATAATTTCTGGCCACCCCTCCTGTCCATTCAAAACCCTCTTCCGTATCAAGTGCACCATCAAAGTTTAGTTTAATTACGCTATCGGAGGGTGCTTGCCACGTTGTATTTTGCTTCGGTTCTGGCTTATCTTGTCGTTCTTGTACCTACTGGTATACCTCCATATATTTACTTGAGAATTTACTAGTTTCTTGATATGTCCTCTGCCCATTGTTTATTATTGCATCATTTTTGCTAGCCCATATTGCCCAGGATAGTGTTGTGACCTTTTCCACCTTTTCTGTATCAACAATCTTGACCGTTGAAGCCATCCACTCTCTTGCATCCTACATTGTTGCCCTTCCTCACTCGAGCTCATTCTTGCTTCCCTCCATATTTCAGCCGCATACGTGCATTCTGTTATTGAATGCAGAACCGTTTCTTCTGCTTGAATGCATCACGGGCATGTCGCTGCATCCAGTATCTTTCTTTCTTCAGATGAGCATACATCGGTAGAATCTCATGTCACATTTTCCATGCAGAAACCTTTATTTTGTTTGGGGGATTAGTCTTCCATAATTTCCTCCATAGTTCAGATCCACCCACACTATTTTCTTTGCCTCTAGCTTCGTGGCCTGCATGAGATACAAGCTCCTCTGATATTAGGAGCTGATAACCGCTTCTTACATTGTACTTTCCATCCTTGTTATAGTGCCATATCTACTCGTCCTGGGCTTTAATGCTACTGAGTGGTATCGCCATGATATATGTAATAGTTTCTTTTGGGATCATACACATCGCATTGTTTGGTGCTCTCGTTTATCAACTTGTTTACCTTAGTCTCCACTAGGTTGACATTTTTTTTTTTTTGGGATTTGGACAAAGCTACCTTCCCTCGGTATCCATAGGTTACTCCATACTTTAATCTTTTCCCCGATTCTTACTCTCCATTCTTACTTCATGCCGTAACAGTTTTCTCCCTATGCAAATACTTTTCCATATATACGATAGGGAGTGTCCCACACTTGCTTCAAGAAATGACGTCTTGGGGAAGTATTTTTCTTTTAGTACCTTATGCACCAATGATGATGTGTTATGCAGCAAACGCCAACCCTGCTTGGCTAATCAGGTTTTGTTGAAATGCCCCATATCCCTAAACCCCATACTACTAACCCATTTCCCGCTGCACATTTTCCTCCAAGACAACCAATGTATTCCTTTCCTTTCCTTTCCGTGCCTCAACTCTACAAATAGCTGCTCATTGTCATATTTATCTCTTTACTTAGCCCTTTTGGAAACATAAAGCATGACATTGCATATGATGGCATTGATTGCAACACAACTTTGACAAAAACCTTTTTGCCTCCATTAGATATTCATTTCTGACTCCAGCTTTATACCTTTTGCCTCATCCTGTCTGCAATTCTTTTCGTAAACAAAAGTAACAATATTTTGTATCCCAAATGGAACTATCTATTTTGCTTGGTACCTTAAAAAAAAAATTCCTAGTTAGATTCTATTCCCATCTCATATGGAGAACTTTTTCCCTTTCTAGTCCAAGCACATTTTGTTGCCCTCGTGCCTTCAAAGCCTATGAAACCTCCATACATAAAGTGGTATGATCCTAATGCTAAATGTGAATAACATGATGGGTCAAATAACACTCCATAAGAAATTGCTCTACTTTTAAGGATACAATTTAGTCTTTGATAGATTCTAATCCTACAAAATTAAAAAAAAAAATGGTTGGTGGCTATGATAATTGATAGTAATAGAATTAAGGGTTAAGATTTTAAAGGTAAGGCACTGGGTAGGGGTTCTTTTTTTTTTAAGCTTGTATATCATCTCAAGAGCACCATTGAGGATGTGAATTTTGAATTAAGTTTGAATGTTTGCTTTGAATAAATAGACATAGTGCATCATGTTGTCTCATAACTTTGTGAATATTGTCATTTGAGGTTTTTAATTCCTTTTAAATTCTAGATTTGTAGGATTTTTCCTAGAAAAAAATAATTGGATAAGAATATAACACCATATAATTAATTTACAAAGTCATAAAAAAGAAAAGAAAGTGTTTTAAAAAAAAGAACAAAGAGAAAGAAAAGAAAAAATAAGAGAGGAAAAGAAAGTTTTCTTTTGTAATAAAAGGTGAAAAGAATCTCAAAAGAGTTGGCAATCTCGATTAGAGATGAACTCATCAAATACCTTCACATTTTTTTTAAACCACTTAAATGATGTCACTTATCATCCATAACCCCTCCAAAGACATGAACTTGAATTTGTAAGCCTTGCTTCTGATTGACAGTATTTGATGTAAAAGTGTAATAATATTTTCCTAGGTAATGAATAATGAGATAGTCAATTTCAAACAAAAAAAAAATTAGGATCCCTAGAAAATCAATCAAACACGATAATTTTTTAAGAATTCGAATATGGTGATTTGATGTGTCAAGGGTATGTTGTAGTTTCAAAAATTTTTAAAATCGAAGGCACCTCAATCTTTTAAAATGATTTCAAACATACAGCCTTTCAGTTATCTACACCTAAATTATCCTTGTCTAGTGCCATGGGGTATATTAACAAAAAAAAAAAAAAAAAGACCTCATTTCCTTAAGACAGCTTGAGTTTTGATTAACACATTTATTCCCTTTTTGGTGAGTGACATAAACCATTTGATACTTTAAACGAGTTCATTTCACATGACTTTTTTGCACATTAACCTTCATTAGAGTTGATTTGTCAAAATAAGATATTTTTCTCGAATTGTGATAAAAGGCATGTAAAGAAAAAAAAAGAAAAAAAGAGAAGAAATAAAAAGAAATAAAATAAAATGAGATGAAAAGAAAGAAAAAAAAAGAAGAGAAAAAGAAAAAATCAATATTTGGTTATGACATCATGCACTTGAAGCATTTTAATAAATTTAAAAATGAAAAGATTTCAACAAAATTATGAAAAGACTAAGGAGAGAAAACTAAAGAGTTTAAAGAAAGTTAGAAAGACTAGGAAAGTCCAAAACAAAGAAAATTTTGAAAAAAAAAGAAAGAAAAAATCAAAAAAAATTTTTTTAAAAAAGAATAGTTCTTAAAAATTAAGTAACTGTGCTTAAGAGATAGAAATTTATAGAAATTTATCTTTTGCTACCCTTTTAAGCCTAATAAAATTCTTCCACAATAAGCCCTGATCAAGGATCACCCACCATACTAGAAGGCAAAAGAAATGTACTTAGGGGAAAGCCTATATATTGAGGGCAAATATCCAATAAAAAGGTTGCCAAAGTTTTAAATCCATTTAAGAAAAAGGAAAAAAAAAGGATGAGAAAATAAGAATTGGGAAAGAAAGTGAAAGAAAGAAAATAAAAGACCAAAAGAACAAAAAAAGAAGGAAAAGAAAAGAGAAGGAAAAAAAATGAATGATAGTGGAAAATTTGGAAAATGAAAGAACAAATACCCTAAAGTGATCTCTTCAAATGAGAAAGAATGATCTTTGAATTAAATCACATTTAAACACTTATTTTGGGTATATCTATCTTTTTCCTTGAAAACTCTGAACTTTGGCCTATGTTACATCCCAAGAAAAGTTTATATTGGATCAAGTTGGATGCTTAAAATTGAAGAGCTTTTCTTTAAGGAATGACCATAAAACCCATGAACCATTTTGTCTCCATTTATTACCTAATTACTCATTTGAACCATGAACTCATTGTGGATAAATTTGAATTCTTGAATGCATGTTGTGATAATAAAAAAAATAAGGATGAATGTGGCTTTAGGGTGAAAACCTTGAAAAAAGATAGTTTAAAGCAAACCTTAAGGCTTTAAAGTCACTACTGATACTAAAGGGGTTGATTTTGAAAATTTGAGCCTTCTTCTCTTATCCCTAAATGACCTTAGATTTTGAGCCCATCACAATTGACTTTAACATCTATCTAAATTTCACATTTGGATACTAAAGAAACTATTAAACATGCTATGGTTTTCAAAGAATTTATGCTTTTTAGGAAAATTTATGTTTAGTTTATGAGCTTACATTAAAAAGTATACATCTCTTTTATCCCTTCAAATGTTGAAGCCTTTTTTTAATGAATTAAAAGCTTCACGTGTTGAACCATTTAATCCATTTAAAAAAAAATTTTCACCTTTTTTATTTCTAATAAGGAATGCCAATTTTTAAGATATTCTTAAAGTTATAGTTTGTTTAGATATTTCTATCTCTTTGACTAAGGAATTTAATTATGGGGTAATTTTATTGACCATTTTGGAAAATTTTTAAATAACTGATTATGCATTTTTGTGAAAAATAAAGAAATCATATTTGGTGTAAAAAAAAAATTGTTGAATTGTAATAGTCT